AAAGTTCTCAAAGTTCCTTCTACTCTACAGGGAACTGCAGAAGGCCAGAACAGGGCCTGGGGCGGTCAGAGGGGACTCCCGAGTGATTCTGGCTGCCGTTGCCAGGAATGCAGGTGCTGTGGTCAGGCAGTGAAAGGGAGGGGGAGCAAGAGGTACACTCGCTAGGAACAGGCCCCAAGTGAGCCTGCCCCTTATCACACTTGCTATAAGGGGTGTTCTCGGCCAGGCTCCCGAGACCAAGGGAGACCCTGGTGCAGCAATCAACTCCTGGGATATTGAGGAATGACATTCTTAAGTGACTACAGCATTTAGCCAGTCCAGGAGGCAGGATTCACACTTGTCTAAGAGGATTCCTTTCCTTTCCAAGCCTCAGCTCCACTGATTCTCCTATTTCAGGCTCTGCTTCAACTGGGCAAGCAATTCCAGTACAGCAGTCAGCTCACAAAGTGCTGTGCAGGGAGACGGGATGGGGATGGAGGCAGAGGCTGGGGAGAGGGCCTCCCAGCCGTGACCACTCTGATAATGGTGCTCAGTGGCAGCTTGCTTAGGCTGGCAGTGGCCTCTTGGGCCTTGGGTGGAAGAAGGCAAAAAAAGGGATGTCACAGGGGGTAATGACAAGCCCCACTGTTCATGTGAAGCTGGTTTAGAGGGCTGGAGAGTGAGGAGCAAATCCAGGTGACAGGAACAGGAAGGGGACCTCAGGGGCTTGGTGACCTGGTTGGAAAGTTTCATAAAAGCCAGTAAAGAAGAACCTCCTGGCCCCAGCTTATGCCTTTGGCCTCTCTTCACCTGTCATCTCTCTCCAACACGTGGCAACAAGCTGGCACCGCCTCAGAAACAGACAGGAAGACAGCAGGGGCCTATCTGCCACGTGGCAGGAACCTGCAGAGAAAGAAATTGACGGGAGGAACAGGAGGCCTCCCATCCCGCCTGGCTGATGCAGCGTCCAATTCTAGCCCATCCGGAGCCTGCTGCCAGCCTCATTCCCATCTTCCATTTGTCCACTGCCCTAAGCCATGACAGCCTGCCACACACGGGCTCTCAACCACGCCCTGGATGTCTAAAGTGTGTCTCACTCAAGGGGCTTTTTGCCTGGTGTGAGGCACTAACAGAGATCATCCCCCCATGCTCAGGACTCAAGAGACCTTGGGACTCTCCCACATGTGGCTTTTAAGAGCCCTGAGGTCAGGCCCAGCTACCTCTCCCGCCTAGCTGTCAGGGCCCTGCCCTTCACTGCCCCCCGGCAGCCTCCTCACTCACCACAGGCAGGCTGGCCCCTCGCAGGCCTCTCCTTTCTCTGTGATCTTTCCAGGTCCCACCATCTCTAGGAAACCCCTGTGACAGACAGCAGAACCCAGAGGTTTCGAGGTTGGACTTGGCTCTGCCACTTGGGCAGCAGCAGCATCTCTGGCGTCCGGGCCTCCTCCCCCTGCTGGCGGCCTGTGCTGCACTGATCACCGGCCGCTGTGTTCTTTTCACTGCCTCATGTGCTTTGTTATCCCAGCTGGACCATCAAGTTCCTTACGACACCTACGTTATTTGCTTTTTTGATTACACATCCATTCATGGTGGGAAACAGAGAAAAACGACTACACTCCAAAAAGGAACCCGAAGCCACCTGGAGTCCTCTTGAGCTAGCCACTGAAAACACCCTGGCTTACTCCCTTGCACCCCTATGCATACATGTTTTCTTTTTCAGAAATTATGATCATATTGTGAATTTCTGTGTCAATTTCTTCACTCAACACTACAAGGTGGACATTTCCCCACATTAGAAACTCTTTAAAAGCTTGTTTTTTTAATGTCTACAGAGCACTCCAGCATGAGGAGCGCCATCGTATATTCAATCAACACGTCGGTGAAGGGCGTCACCGATGTGTTGATTGAATATACGATGGTGCTCCTCATGCTGGACAGACAAACCCTGAGCCAGCATGCCTGGAGCTACGCATTTGCCAACCACCAATCACCCTCCCTCTGCGCTGATTAAATGCATTTCCTCCCTTCTCCTAAAGAAAGGCCATTTCCTGTGGATAAGATTTGTGGTGAAAACAGAAGCAGCTACGATGCAGGTGCGGTGTGGCGGGCCCTCGGACTGGCCGGCAGGTGTGGGAGTCACTTTCCCTCTCTTCCTGTGTCTGCTGTCAGTTCGGCCCATCCTAGGGAGCACCTGGCAGCCCCCACTGCCCTGGCCCTGCCCCTCTAAATCAAAGCCCCTTTCTGTCTGTAAGCAAAAGTGTGTGGATACAGTTCAAGTTGCCTGCCTGTCCAGCTCAATCACCATATCACAGGAGGAACAATAAGAGGATGTGACACCTGGAGGCCAAGACAGAGGTCTTCCATTTCTGAAGGGCTTAAACATGTTCTGTGGGGTCCCAAAAGGTAAACCTGGGACCAAGAGACACACACCACAGGAAACAGATTTTGACTCAATATAAAGAATGCTCTAAATCAGCCGTGCAAGGCAAAGAACGAATGGGTGACTTCTTTAAAAAACCATCATGGCAGAGACTATCTGGAAGGGATTTGGCAGAGAGGACAATTAGGCCACAAGACGTTCCAGTCCCTCCCACCCTGAGAGGGAGCTGTGTGATGTGCACATATGCCCTGTACTTCTACGACAACCCTCGGCACCCTGTCACAGGGAAATGCCACAGCAACAGCTTGACTGTGAAACAGCCTCAGTTTCCAGATGCTCCTAAGACACGTCCAGCCTGGCTTCCTGGAAGCTACTTGTGCATCTTGTAGAAGAGTCTCCAGGGCATTTCAGAACCAAGGGAAACGTTTGTAGCCTACTGAAAACCTTACTACATGGGACAGACTGTAGCTAATATGATGCAAATTATACCACATGCAATGAGGGAATATTTCATTAACATAAATGCTCCCCCTTCCCATGTTTCCTTCTTCCTTTCTTCGGGTTGCTAAAATGTAATTCCCCTGACAACCCATCCGGCCATTCACATGCAGTTACCTGGGGTGCTGCGCACAGCTCCTCAGGCCACTCCAGGTATCTGAGGTCCTGGCTCAAGCCAGGCGTGCTGGGCATCCCTTCTCACACAGACTCCACCCGCCAGCAGCCAGAGCCCCCGGAAGGACTGAGCTGCGGGCTACCCTCAATGAGGGTCCTTCCAGCATAGGAACAGGCACATCTTACAGAGGCCCTGCCCTATGCATGACCTCTGGCCCAAGGTCACACTTCTCCAAATACCTGCGCAGCTGCTCTCTGGCCCAATCCTAAGGAGTCTTGGGCTATTCGAGGGGTAGGAGCCTTGCCCTTTCCCAAATCAGCAGAAGGAGGGGTGGGAAGCAACAGCTCAGCCTCTAGCATCTCAAAGTACAGGGAGGGAACACCCTAAGACCTCCCTCACTTGCCTATCTGGTGGCCAGCCTAAGGAAGGGGTGAGCTGAGAGAGGGAAGGCCCCTCAATGCTCTGAGTCAGGTCCAACCTGGGTCCCCACGCATTGCCTGAGCGCCGCCCCCACCCACCCCCAACTCCGTCCCAAGTTTGTCATCCTTCCCCAAGGAACATGGTGAGTCAGGGGTTAGGTCACAAGAACCATAAATATACTCAGTTTAACTTTTAAGAAGAAAAAAAATTGCTGGTTTAAAACTTAAGATTTCTAAAAGCTGAAAATCAACTGCCCCAAAGCCAGGTTGGGAGGGGTGCTTTGTTGCAGACTGCAGTATCTTCTTCCCTGGAGGTGGAGATGGCTCTAGGTGAGTTGGGTCTCTCCTGGAAGCCTCAGCCGGCTCCCTGGGCAGGCCACTATTTAGGAGGCCCCAAACACAACCCCATCAGTGAGAAACCCTCAGAAGCCCCCAGTGGAGAACAGAGTGCGAGCAGTATGAGCTGTGTGCTGACTCTGACCCTGGCCCCTCAACCGAGACAGCCGTGCAAGGCAGGCACAGGTGAGAGAGATCCCCTCAGAGGGACAGGGCTAACTCAAACCAAGAGGACTCAGGCTGGAAGGTGACAGAAAGCGCATAGGTGGCTACACCCCCATCCCTGTATCCACAGAGAAGAAAGAGGCTGTGCGGCACAGTGGTTAGAGCCTGCTCCCCAGATCCAGAGCACTAGATACACATTTCTACCCTGCCAATGACTGACAGTGTGACCCTGAGCAAGCGACCTAGCCACGCTACCTCATTTCCTTCATCTGGGCAGTGGAGATTGATACGAGTCCACACCCCAGGGCTGCAGGGAAGATTCAATGAGCCAACTTATGCAAGCCACTAAGAACGGCGCAAGCACACAGTAAGCACTAGTAAGAAGTGTCGGTTGACCACAATCATTAACTGCCACTCAAATGCCTGCTCCTGGGGGCAGGCCCAGCCCATACAGATGCCGCGGGAAGGGCCTCCAAGAGAGGGACAGTGACGGGTACCCTGCTCAGAGCTTCTTTCTGAAATGACAGAGGGTGCACTTGATCCTAAGCCCAGGGTCCTAACGGGATCCCTATTCTGCAGGGATCCAGAGGAAACACCCTGGTTTCTCTTTTCTTTTTTGGCCCCTTGTGTTTTGTGAGAGAGCTTCTCAAAGAAGCAACCAATCCTCCAAGTCATTAACTCAGCCTTTTCTCTGGGCCATCTCTGAGGCCATGGGGACATGAGGCTGTGTAAGCCTGGACTGTACCCCAGGCACTGGGCCTTGGCTGGGCAGGGAAGGGGTCTTTCTGCAGGAGGCAAGGCTCTTTGCTTCACTGACAACCCACTTGACAACAAAGTTTTGAAAAATAAATAAAACTCCTGGCGCCCAGCCTTGACCCTCCTTCTTGGGAAGCGGATCTGCAAAGAGAGCTCTCTCCGGAGCTGTTTCTGGGGCGGAGGGAGAGGGAGAGTTTGGAAACGAGGCATGCACCACCTGGCTGACTTCCTGGTATCTGAGTGACCTCAGTGAGCTTTCCCTGGGATTCGGGTCTACGTACTGTTGCAGACTCCTGTGGGGCCTGTTTCCACTGACGGCACCCTGCCGATGAGGAGGCCTGCAGCCACTTACCAGGAAGCGGACATCGTCAAAGCCATTCAGAAGCAACTTGCTCTCATACTGCTGCAGCCCAATCGACTCGAGCCACTCCCCGACACTCTGCTCCAGCGTCCGCGAACCTGACGAGAGAGGAATCGGCAGACGCTTGAAAAGGGAAAAACCATTAAGGCGGTAGCAGCGGCACTCAGAGGAAGACAGATGGCATTGCCACATCATAGTCATTACCATGAAACAGCCAAACTATATACAAGAGACCAGAGAGCAGAGGACACGCAGCTCCTCTTCTGTGGACAGCCAAGGACAGGACCACCTGGTGCTGTCCACACACTGCCCAGCCTCGGGCGGCTGCTGCCCACTCACACCCCCAGGTCTGAGCTGCTCCAGGGCCACAGCTGCACATGCACGGTCTCTGCCCACAGGTTGGGGTTGGGGGAAGCCAACCCCCAACAGTCTCCGGGTCAACTCCTCATCAGCGTGTGCGCTGAGCTTTTTCAGAAAGTCTGTCCCCACAGGCACTAGAGGGGGCTGAGGGCGCTGCTAAGTGCCCACGAGCCCTGCCGCTCCTCTCATCCATGCAACTTCTGGAGCCCCCACAGGGCTGTGGCGAGGGGCAAGTTCTGCGACCTTGCAGCATAAACCAGTCAGGAGAGAGCACACATCTTCATGCAGCTGAGGGACACAGGCACACAGCGAGGGCTCCGGGAAGGAAGCAGCAGCAGCGGCTGTTCACCAGGACCCAGCACATGCAACACAAGCAGCACAGAACACGGCAGGGGGAGAAAAGAGACTTTTACTTGTTTTCCCCCAGCAGTCCCGGAATAAGCAAACCATGGCCACCGGCCCTTTGTACTCAGAGGTTCAAGGCAGCAAGGGGCTGAGTGGGGCACATGGGCCAGGCCTCGGGGGGTCAGGCTCAGGTGTGGCTCTGCTGGGACGGCAGCATCGCATTCCGCCAGGCTGCATGGCCAGCGGGCCAGGAGCCCGGTCCACAGCTAGACTCTGGCGGCTGGCGAGCAGGGCGTCTCCTGGGCCAGCGCGCTGTCTGAAGTGCTGCCTTCTTGGGCCGGGCTGGTTTTCAGGAGCTGGGCGCTGATTTTCGTCTTCTGATGGTAGCTGTTCCTGTGACTCACCTGCCTGCTCAGGTGGAGAGCAGGCAGGAAAATTCAGTTCTTGGCTAAGGAAGACAAAACCCAACCAGATAAAAGCGACAGAAAAAGGAAGTGGTCCTCCGTCAGCTGAGCTGTGGTAGCTTCAGTCTATTCACGTCCTGCGCTGCTCTCTCTTCGGCTGAGCGATGAAGACAGCAACAGTCATCCCAGGGTCTCCGGATCTTGACGTTCTCCTCCAAGGATGAGCAGGGAAGGGAGGACATCTATTTGCTCCTCCGCCTGGATAGGGATCGTAGTGGTGCAGGGAGGACAGACGTTCGGCTCTTCCTGGCAGACCCTGGATGTTCTGAGCTGGATGTCTGAACCCCAACCTACTTCTCTGATTCTTGTGGGCAAGAACGGACGAAAGAAAGAAAAAAGAGAAGAGGAGGAAAAAGAGGTACAAGGAAGGAAAAAGAAGAACCAACTATAAAAACATCACCTCCAGTGAACTCTTGACACGGTGAAAGTCATTCTGCCGTTCCCAGGGACTTTCTGCCCCTCGGGGCAGGACCGTGACAACTTGCTCAGTTATCTACAAGACCCTGGTACCAACTGTGCCAGCCTCCACTCCCTCTCCTCTGTCTCCTGCAGAACAGATGGTGTCAGGGACCCGGCGGCCTTCTGGATGCACGCTGCCGCAGCACTCCAAGATGCCAAGTCTGGGGGAATACTTGAGCTCCCCTGTCCTTGAATGGGGAAGTCTGCTCCAGGAGCCTAAGCAGCACGTTCTCGTATGCCCATGAAGTCAAGTGTCCCCGGGTGCTGATTCATTCTTGCTTGTAATCCCCCAGCCGGGCAGCTGTGGTCCTGCCTGCTGCCGGAGGATGTGCGCGCTGACAGAGCCGCGGCAGAATGCTTTGTCTAAAGGCTCCTGGGCTCCACGCTGCCTGCTGCTGGCTCCACAGTCCTTGCTCACTCTCGTAATGTCTGGCCCTCCCCTTCCTCCCCTCCTCACCCTCCCCCTTCCAAGCTCAGGAAAATACATCAGGGATCGGACATCACATCGGAGCAGAAGTGGCTGCTGCTGTGGCTGCTGAGGGAGAAGGAGACAGCAGCACTAGCATCAGAGCAAAATGACAGATCTCCCAAGATCTGATGTTGGCTGCACAAATGCGTATGAAGGGCGGAGATGTGAAACTTTACCTCCAGCTCCAGGGGCTGGAAACAGCTTGTCAGGAAGAATAGAGAGGGAATGCTCCTAGAGCTTTGTTAGACAGTTTCCAGGACAGCCAGGAGAGAACAAAGGAATGACCAGCCCCAAAGGGCATAGCCCACAGGTTAAGTGACCCCCTTGCCCCAATGTGCCACCTTGGAATGACTGTGCTTCATCATAAAAACAGGCAATAAAATAAGGCCATTACACTTGATTGTTCCTTAGGTGAGTATACCAAACAAATTGGAGACAGATTTCTCTTGGGGCTTCTTAGAGCCCAGCGGAAGAGCCCTATCCCCAGAGCAGGCCACTCACACTCTGCGGGAGGAGAGCAATGGCCAAGGACAAGGGGAAATCAGGCCCAATCCCAAGTACAGATGCAGACGGGCAAAAAAGATAAAACAGGCACAGGGACATAAGTCCAGGGACTACACGTCATCCTCTAAATATGCTGGGAGATTCTGGTATCCCGATAGGCTGTAGATGAGCCCTGGCAAAGAAAGAGTTCTCATCAGGCCCCAGAAGGATCCTGCTTGACCAGCTACTCAACACCTAACATGGCTGGCTCTATCAGAAGACAGCCAAGCAAGTTTCCTTCTGCTTGACGGAGGCCTCTGTTGACAGAAGCCAAAGTGGCCTGGGCCAGTGGGAAAGGTCACCCTCCTGGATTCCCGAGAATGGCAGTTGGCACAGGGATGAGTTAGCTGTAAACGCTTCTGTTGGGGATTCAGCTAACTAGCTCCAGTGGTGGCAGCCTAGGGGCCCATGGCCCTAAAACAGGCCTCAGACTCTAACGCTGTGGTCGTGCCCTTCAGGTAGGGGTGTGGGTGCCTCTGCAGAGCCAGTGGTGCTGAGCAATCCCACACTTGCTGCAGGGATGCCGGCTGGAGGGCCTGCTCTTCCTCCACCCAGGCTGCTGACCCCAGAGCCCAGATCTTTTCTCTCTGATCCTGAAACCCAACCCAAGGACAATCTGAACCCTGACATTGACCAGTCAAAAGAAACAGTGATTCCGCTTTGGTCCGAGCGGAAGACGGTACTCCCTGAGAAATCCTCCTGGTATTTCTTACTCCTGGAGAAATACCTCTCCTGACCCATCAGAAGGGTTCACAGGCAGGCCTGAGCCCATCCTTTCTATGTTTCAGAGCCTAGCAGTGGTGCAGACACAGCAGCCTGGCGTTCTGCAGCACGGGTAGATGAACCCTCTGTTCAGGTAGTCCCCCACATGTGCCTGCTCCCGACTTTCCCAAGCTGAACTATAGAGGATGGTTCACGAAAATGACTACTAAAACAAGACTGTGTGCTGGGATCCAGAAACCCAAGGGTAGAGGCAGACTGCCTCTCAACACTCATATGGGTTTATGAGGGACAAGAACTGGTAGGTGGGATCAGACAGGAGACCAGACGTCACAGGAAAGCTCAGCATTCACACTTCAAAGGGGAGGGCTCTTCCCAAGGTGCTGCCACATCGCCTGGCTTAGCAAATCCAAGAGGCAATGGCTGTTTCTGACTCCCAGCTCTCAAGCACATGCAAGTGATTTTGGCTCCTGCTCCTTGTATGCAGGAAGCAGAAAGCATCCTGCACGGAATTGACTGCTATCCATCCCATCCCTGTCGTCAAAGCACAGCTTTGAAAATGGTAACAGTGTTTGTCTCAGTCCTGAACATCTATTTCCTATAAACACTCGACCGTTGGAAAAGCCTGCAAACCACAACAGAGCATGAGATCGTTTGACTGAGTGAAAGCAACAGATCCTGAAAACAGATCACAAACTTATAGACAGAAAAGCCACCTCTGCAGACTCCAGCATAACCCGAGACTGATAAAAATGGACCAAGCCCAGCTCACAGCCCTCTCTGCTAGAACCCAGGGAAACACTGCTGTGGAGTGGACTGTGGCTCCAGGAGCCAAGACTGAAAGCTGATGGAGGGAGACTAGCCAGGGAGCAGAAGCCTCTGTCATCTAGGTTTCTCGATATGAGTAAGGCATGATTTCACGGACAAAAAGAAACACAGGGCCCAGTGCAGTGGCTCACGCCTGTAATCCCAGCATTTTGGGAGGCTGAGGCAGGCGGATCATGAGTCAGGAGTTTGAGACCAGCCTGACCAACATGGTGAAACCCTGTCTCTACTAAAAACATAAAAATTAGCCAGGTGTGGTGGCGCATGCCTGTAATTCCAGCTATTTAGGAGGCTGAGGCATAAGAATTACTTGAACCCAGGAGGCGGAGGTTGCAGTGAGCCAAGATCACGCCATTGTACTCTAGCCTGGGTGACACAGTGAGACTCCGTCTCAAAAAAAAATAAACACAGTTACTGTTTACTGAATATCTCTTTAGCTGAAGTATTCATATCTGTTACTCATTCACAGCAAACCTGTGAGGTTGACACTATTATCCAAAGGTTGCAGATGAGGGGTGAAGGGTGTAGAGACATTAAGTGACTTGCTGAAACATGTATGAATCTAGAGCCAAGATTTGAACCTAGGGCTGTGAGGATCCAGAGACCAGGCCATCCTCACCAGGCCCTCTGGTCTCCCATGCTCCTTTCTCCCTGATGTGCACACTCAAAGTCCACCCATATGACTTCCTGCCAGGGCCACAGAAGCCCGTGGAAGAACCGGAGATGCCACTCGAGACTCACAGGTCAATCCTGGATGCAGCCTCCCGAGTGAGCACGAAGTTCCGCCCCTTCAGTGTACTAGAGGCATTTCCATGAGGGTGAGAGAGGCCAGGCTCCCGGCTGGGCTGCTTTCAGCCTGGATGCCCGGGTGCCCAGACCATCTTCAGATGCTTGGGGGAAGGGGTGTGAGACCTGCTCTGAGAGGCACCTTTAAGAGCATTGCACCTGAGAAAGCAACACGGCGCAATCCTATTATCAGAGAAAACAGCTCAGGTAGCCTCCCCATTCTCTGTTTTAAACAAAGGAAACAGAAGCTGACCTCACTACTAGGGCTTAGAAAAGAATGACCGAAGTAGCAGTGACATAGTGTAAGAATGGTAAGTGATGAAGTAAACTGAGGCACAGGGCGCTGTGGGAAGAGGAAACAGCACAGTCAACCCTCCCAGGCAATTCACATGCATGCTACGAGTCTGAGACCCCTGGTCTAACCCAATGCTCTGCCACTGTCATGGATGAGACAAGAGCCGCCTCGGAAGCTGCAGAGACCAACTGTTATTTTTTGTAAAGGAGGGGTTTCACCATGTTGTCCAGGCTGGATGCAAACTCTTGGACTCAAGTGATTCGCCCACCTCGGCCTCCCAGAGTGCTAGGATTAAAGGCATGAACCACTGTACGCAGCTATTTTTTATTTTTTGTAGAGTTGGGGGTCTCACTATGTTGCCCAGGCCGGTTTCAAACCCCTGGGCTCAAGTGATCTTCCTGCCTTGGCCTCCCAAGGTGCTGGGACTACAGATGTGAGCCACCACACCTTGTAAGCTTCCATTTAAAGTGGATGAAAATGAGGATGATACTGCCTCTTGTCCAGGGTCGTGTGAATTAAAAGATATCATGTACAAAAAGCACCTGGCTGAAGGTCTAGCTCACAGTAAGTGCTGAGGTAGACTCTGATCTAAGCCGATCTAAGAAAGCCCATAAAATAGTGAATAAGTGATGATTGTTCATCTAAACATTTTTCATAACAGGCAGCTTTAAAATTCATTTTGTACCTTTTCTCCTCCCATATGTAAAAGGAGTCATGGCTCTAAAAATAATAGCAAGATGGGGCCGTCTAGATATTAGAGACTGTGAATTGTAGGGGCATGATGTGGTCTGAAGCGGACCTCTCCCACCCCCTGAACGTCTGTCTTCTGTGTTAGAGGAAAGCCTGAGCCAGGAAGGAGCCAGACTGCCAAGGTCTGTGGAGAAAATGGCAACTTGGTACGGTACCTGAGATCTTCTGCCGTTCCTGAGAAAAGTCAATCCCTTCTCCAATAGAGCTCATGATTTTCTCAATCTGAAATGGAAGAAAGAACAAAGAGGAGAGGCAGTTAGGCTTGGGGTAAATGTTGCCAACTCACCACCAGCACCACTAGGGGCTGAGACCTCTAGGTCTCTTTCAGATGCTTCCCAGACCAGCACCAGCTGGTAAGGTATCAGGACTCCCTGCCGCTCAGGTCTAAGAGAGGCCTTCTCTGGTCCCAGCCCACTGGGTCTGAAGTACTGTTCTGAATGGAGTGAGATGGTGACAATCTGCGCTTAGCTGCTAGAAATACCAAAGAGCCTCCCTTTCGAGGTGTTCACTCCCCAGCAGTTCTCCCAGACTGGCAGAGACTGGGGAGAGGCTGCAATCACAGGCCAGACCTGGCCATTTCATTGCTCATGCTAGACTTTAACTTCCATGAGAGTGGAGATTTGCCAGCTTTGTTCCATGCTACCCTGAGTGCCTAGGGTAGTGCCTGGTAAATAAGCATTCAGCAGATGACTGATACTGTATGACCACCAGCTCTGGGGAGTTAGGACGATTTCTAGAGTGCCTGCACATAGGAACCTCAGGGAAGGCAGGCAATTACACCTGAAGGGAAGGTCTTTTGCTTCTTGGAGGTCAGCAGTCCTGGATAGAGCTCTGTGTTCAGGGGACTAGAAGGGGCAGACACCTGTCCCTCCTCTGGACCACAGCAGAGAAAACTAGTCTGAAACCATCCAATGTCTCCAGCACTGCTCCTAATATGGACCACCTGTCCCAGCCATCTGGCCTCGGTCACTCTGGGCCAGATCCAAGTCCCTTCCCCAGGAAACCTGGCCAGGGGCAGGACTAGGCCGTGGGGAACAGCCACCTTCTCTTCTTCCCTTCCTCCTCCTTTTTGGGTTACAGTGATAATGAGCTCATTCACTGCTCTGTTTCCAGAGAAATGAAAAGAGGACCCTTTGTACCAGGGCTTGGATGCTCTTTCCTCTAAGTGCAAGTAAGGAACCTGGGTCAGACGATCAGAAAAACAATTCTCCAGCCAGCCTCCAGCTGGCAGACAAAGCTGCACATCCGACACCCAGCAGAAAAGCACAGAGCAAGCACCACCTCTCCTCAGGCAGCCAGGGGCTCAGGGAGGTATCATCTTCCAGCCACAGAAGTGACTGCTGGCTCAGGCTATCACCCGATTACCTGTTAACCAGATTGCAAGCTCCTTCCCTGAGCTCACCAAGGCAGAGGGAAACAAATCTGACCCCTGGAGCAAACTGGGGGTGTGTCTCTATGTACTGGCCCCAGCAGCCCAGAGGCACGGTGAGGAGGGATAGAGCCAGAGCAAGTTGGCTCTGCCCCTTGAAGAAAACGCCTCCCTCCACCCTCATCACTTTCTTTGGTCCTGCCCGTTTCAAGTGCTGCCTCCTTCAGCAGGGGCAGCATGATACAAGGGAAAGTACCCAGACAGAGAGGCGACTATCCTCACCCTCCCAAAGCTTCCATTGATTTTTATTACTTTTTTTTTTTTTTTTTTAATAGAGACAAGGTCTTGCTATGTTCCCCAGACTGCTCCTGAACTCCTGGACTCAAGTGACCCTCCCACTTTAGCCTCCTGAATAGATAAGACAACAGGTAGGTACCACCATGCCTTGCTATTTTTTTTTTATTTTTTTGAGGCAGGGTCTTGCTTTGTCACCCATGCTGGAGTGCAGTGGTGTGATCATGGCTCACTGCAACCTCCACCTCCTGGGCTCAAGTGATCCTCCCACTGCAGCCTCCCTAGTAGCTGAGACTATAGGCGTGCCAGCTCACCAAAATCGCCTTTTTGTGGTGCCACATCTGGCTAATTTTATTTTTTTTGTACAGACAGGGTTTCACCATGTTGTCCTGGCTGGCCTCAAACTCTTGGACTCAAGAGATTCGCTCACCTTGGCCTCCCAGAGTGCTAGGATTATGGGTATGAGCACTGTACCTGATGGGGTCTCACTATGTTGCCCAGGCTGGTTTCAAACTCCTGGGCTCAAGTGATCTTTCTGCCTTGGTCTCCCAAAGTGCTGGGACTACAGGTGTGAGCCTCTGCACCTGGCAAGCTTCCATTTAAAGTGGATAAAAATGAGGATGATATTGCCTCTTGTTCAGGGTTGTGTGGATTAAAAGATATCATGTACATAAAGCACCTGGCTGAAGGTCTAAACGCTCAGTAAAAAGTTAGTTTGCTTTCTACTTCCAGTGCTCCAGCCTAGTAAAACCTGTTTTTAAAGTTATAAAATATTTTTACTTACACTTATTTTTTGATACATTCACATGATTCAAAATTCAAAAGATACAAGATGCTACTGGGAGAAGAGTCTCCCTTACCCATCTCCCAGTTGCTTCTCCCGCATCCTTCTATTCTACTCATATGCAGAGCGTCTTACTGTAGCCACCACGAGGGTTGGCATCAAGCGTATTTTATTTGCCTTGTCACCCGCTGGGCCTGGCACATGGTAAATAGACAACCTATTGAATGAATCTGTGAATGAACCAAAGTGTAGTTTCCATTTCTTTAGAGTTTGCACTGAAAAAGCTGTTCTCTACACCACGCAGCGTGCAGGGGACGGAAAGGGCTGAAATGGTGGGGTATCCTTTGAAATAAAGTCATCTATATTATATATTTCATTATCATAATCACTTAATATCCGAAGCCCCAGCTGGCCTGTCCAATCAGCATCCCTTGACGGTATAATTTGTGAAATTTTGCCGAAGGGCTTTTGGGCATCAGAGTGAATGGAGTTGAGCACTCTCGCTGCTTCTCCACTCCGCTCTTTCCTGCTTGCCAGGAGTCGCCTGCTAGTCAACTGACATAGGCCAGCAGAAGCCCAGGTTTCTTTTATTTTCTTTTTTTGAGACATGGTCTCACTCTGTCACCCGGGCTGGAGTGCAGTGGCGCAATCAATTACGGCTCACTGAAACTCTGAACTCCTGAGCTCAAGGGATCCTCCCGCCTCAGCCTCCTAAAGTGCTGGGATTACAGGTGCCTGACCCAAAAGTCTGGGTACCTACACATGAGTGGGTATGTGAGGTGTTCCAGATGGCAGACCGGCTGGAAAATGCTAATGGACACTCTCAGA